CGCGGCCGGCCAGCCGCGGCGTCGGTTGCTGGCGTCGGGCGATCCCCTGTGAAGAGGCACGGAGTCTCACCGTTTAAGGGGTGTTACGGCTGTGCCTGGCTCGGGGGGCTGGCAGGACCCCTGAGGAGGCTGCGCGGTTGGTAAGCAGTCAGGCTGTTGCAGTCTTCTGCATTTGGTAAAGAGAACGCGTTTCTCGGAAAGCGTTCTCTTTAAAATTCCTCCTCTGTGCTAATCTGGTTTTGAATGGAAAATTGAGTTCAATGTCGTTTCAAACTTATTTGCTAGGTAAAAAAACCCAAACCATACAAGATATCTACAGGAGGGAAATGTCAAGTTTGTTCTGTATTTAAAAACTTAAAAATGCCTGAAATTAAAAAGTATAGGTAGCTAGCAACTAGAAGTGGAAAGACTTTTGGTTATCTTGGCCCTACAATACATCTCAGCATTACAGACCAGTTTTACGGATTAAATTGAAAAAAAGAAACCAGTTTTTTCTGACTTCAAATTCATAAACCATTCTTTGTCTGTGATTAGATGAGATATTGAGCTAATGTGAAGAAATTATTTCTTTAAATTTTTTTGATAGCTGACTTGAAATAGCTGGTTCAGTAGGTCAACTACTCCCATTCTGATTTTTTTTTCTTCTCTCCCAGCGGTTTGAATTACCTTAAAATTTTGGTGACCAAGTCTATTCTAAAAATAGTTGGTTCTGTATTTCAGTATTTTAGTCTGGCCTTATCATAGATGGATGTCTTTCAAATTACTTCTAAAATATTTTAATGAAGAAAAGTGCCTATGTGAGTTCGCCTGTCTTGTGTATTTAAAATATGTATTTTCATAAGAAACTAATTTTTCCAGTAATGTTGAGACTTGCCCAAAGGCCAGTTCAGAACTCCTTTTGCAGCTGGGACGCTTGTTTTGTTTGTGTCTCTGTCTCCCCCAACGTATTTGGCTATCAGTTTTTGTGAAGCTTTGCGGCGTTTATCTATTGTGCCATGCGTTTCTAAATCTACCTGAAATTCAACAGAAGGTTCAAAAACTACTGGGAGGAAGAAGTCTGCATAGAGATGTGTACTCTGTACTGTTGGATAAATGTTTTAGTTTTGTTAAAGACTAGGTTTCCAAACAAGTTTGTCTTCAAGTCCGTTTATTTTCCCTCTACAGATTTGAGAGCACTTTAGCATCTCCTTGAGGTGCTTTCCTCTTTCTCCTGTTGGATCTAGCAAGCATCATGAGGTTTCTAAGTCGTTTTACCATATCTTTTGATGCCTCCAAAGAAGAAATGTACCCACAAGGCCAGGAAGGCGGAGCTGGTATTCTTTGAGAGGCCGCGAGAGGGACGCGTTCATTGCTATGAAACTCCGCTACTTTCGGCCAAGAATCCAAGACGTGTTCCTACAAAACCTGTAGACCAGAACACCTCTGCTGCCTGGGTTGGTATAGGTTATCCCTCCCCCTGCCTCCCACAGCAACCATTTTCAAGTTTCTCATGTATGTCTCAACAGAAATCTATCTGTCCTGGATACTGAAAATTAGTAGCACAGACTTGAATGCGTTGTAGCTGCCTAAAGCATGCATAAGTGCTTTTGAGTTGCTTCACATTCTAACTACAACCACTAAGGCCTTGGTTATTTGAAGGCATAAAACTGTGTGCGGTGTGTACTGATAATTTGTCATCTGAAAAACTAATTCTTATCAGGAAAATGCTGTTTAGTAACTGAAAACCCTGCACCAAGTAAACATTAGGGGGAATTTTTTTATTGGCTTGCTGCTTGAAATAACTGCTGAACTCTAAATGTTATGTGTTAAAGTACCAGGTGTTTCGTGTAAATCTGATACTGCTAAATTTAGAGAACACAGGCTTTCACTTCAGCATTATTTGTTCTAACCTGCCCTCTTTTCCATTCTGTATGTTTTGAATAGTTTCTCTCCATCTTCTGATGGGCTCCTTTTCTGGCCTGAAAAAATATTCCAGGGACTGTTTGCAGTGTCCTAAGATACTCCTTATATAATGTAATGTAAAGATTTTTTTTTTTTTTTTATTATTCTTAAGCAAACAGGTGCTGCAAAGACAGACTGTTCCTATACAATAGTCATCACCTAGGGGAGCTCTGTTTAAGCATTGTTGCTGCTTGACTCTCTGCTCTTCACAAAGCAGGCTCAGGAAGCGTGGTTTTGAACCTGTATGAAACATTCCTTTGTTCTTGGTGACCTGGAGTTATTTTTGTGATGCCTTAACCTTTAAGTAGAACATGTTCAATTTTTTCCACTTGAACTTTTTTTATATGCTTGAGGCAGTTAGCTCTATGGCTTCTGAAACACTAAGTAAAATAACTGCTGTGAATAAGCATTCTTTTTGTTTGGAAGAGGTGGAAATATCCGCACTGGTACTTAGCTGTTTGATTTCAAAGATAAAATGATTCTAAAATTTGTTTGAAGCTATAAGCACTGAAACTGTTAGATATTTTTCCATTAGGAAATCCTGATAGGTTTGTAACTTCTTGAAGCATCCTCTGCAGAGTTTCTGTCAACTTGTTCAGTGGCAACTGATTTTCTGCTCCTCTCTTCTTGATGTTATCTAAGTTTTTCATACCCTCTTGACTGCTAGGCTCCTGCACTGGTAAAGCCTACCCTACGTGTTCTCTGAAGCCAGGAAGTCATATCCTCAAAGTCAGTGGTTCACCTATGTTCTTTTAAGTATGTGCCAGGATACGATTGTCAGGGAACCATTTCTCTGTTTTCCTGCACAAAGACTTTGAATTCAAACAGTTCAGTTGTACAGCAGACAATCACTATCCTTAATTAAATTGCACTTAGTTTTTTGAGGGACTATGTAGTAACTTAGGAATGCTGAAAGGGATCTGTAGTTATTGAAACTAGAACCCAGTTTGGTGTGCTCTAGGGAAAAGCAAATTGCAAGAAATGAAATCTGACTCTTTTTGTTGATACCCAGGAAGATAAAGAATACTGCAACAGAAGGATTTCCAGGTTTTGAGTAAGAATCCAGAATCCTTCAAAGAAATACGGATTGTTGAGCTTTTACCATCCTGTATAGAAAGCTGATTTTAGAAGTGGCTTTTGGGCGATATGTTACTCCAGAATACATACAGAGATTAACTGTGTTTTGGGGGAATATTCTGAAAGTCTTATTAATGTAATCTAAGGTGATGGAGCTAAGTGGGTATCCTTTAAATCATTTTGTATAATTTTGTACCTGTTCAGGGAGACTGAGGATGTAGTTCACTGAATCTATTCAGAGTTATGGTAAGACACAGAAAGAAACAGGATCCAGCTCTGAACTGTTTTAAATCTGCAGGGGTTACAGGAGTAGACACCAGTTACTTTTCCTCAAAACCCAAATCTTGAGTGCTTTTTAAGTTGCCAGACAATAGCTCACTTGCACCCCAACCACTTTTCAGAGAAGTGTGGCAGAACATGATGTTGAAGTTCAGAGGTATCTCCTGCTTAGCAGCTTGATTAGTGACTGATTTGCTTTGCTGCAGACCAGATTACCCACTTAATGAACACACTGAAAAAAGATGGGATAGATGGGGGAGTAGAATCAGGCTGGCATTCCTTTGTCTGGAGAAAATTGTTTTTTTCTTATTACTATGTCTTTCCCTTCAGGTGTGCCCACAATTTGAAACAACTAAGTCAGCGGTGGTGAAAGCATGCCAGAAGAAGCATCATGGTCCTCACAAACCCCAGAATCAGAATGCCAACCACAGTTTGCGTCATGCAGGAGGAGCTTGTCAAAGAGCTATAGCCTGCAAATTTCCTCCTTTAACTTTTGAGAATCCAGAAGGATATCCAGTCGACCCCTCGGATCATCCGAATTGCCTGAGGAAGAATACACAGCGCTCTCGCAGCCAGACCAAGAAAGGGACAGCAGCGAAAGCCAACATTCCAGTGAATAGTCTGGAGAACTGTAGAGAAACACCTTTGTTGCCTGCTTCCCAGCCTGTGGAGCCAGAAGTCTTCAGTCCACCAGATGCAGAGACTCCACAGGTGGCTTCCATAAAGAACTGGAGATGCAGCAGTGCTCTGCCGCAAACAAGTAGCCATGCCTGGCATCCAGAAGAAGAGCTGGCATTTGGTATTGATCCCCATGGGAGAGGGGAGTCAGCAGCAGTACTGGTTACAGATACTCCCGAGCATGAGTACGGAGTAAAGGTTACTTGGAGACAGCGGCCTCATCTAATGAAATACCTGCAGGAGAGGGGGAAGCTGAGTGCTGCCGACATACTGGTGAAGGCGAACCCTGAGCTCTCAAGGAGACAGGCCAACGTCTAACTTGGCAGAAGGAGTCTTTTTGTTCTGTGTAACGACACGTCCGAACAGGCGATGTTACTCTCGAGGAACAGCCAGCCGCGCTACGGCTGGCTGGGCCTCCCGAGAAACGCGAAGGCGTGGGGGGCGTTTTCTTGGCGATGGGGGTATGTTGGGCCGAGCTTCCTTGGGGAACGGGGTGGCTCTGAAAAGAGCTTGCTGACCTACGTGGCTTCTCGCAGAGGCGGT